TATGTTACGTAGTCAAGCTATCTTGCTACGTCGTGTAATCAGAGACTGTAAGGTTGAGGGCTGAATCGTCGGATTCTGATGAGGAATCTCATGGTCGGAATGAGACTCTATCCCAAAACGACGATGCTGGTTAGATACTTCTTATTTATGATACAAATATCACGTTTTGCTCCGTATAAAATTGTTTTTCCCGTCATCTGTATTGGCATGATTATTATTAATCATATCTGGTTCTTTCAGTAACAAAGGATAAGGGAGGTGTCAATGCATCTCAATAGGGGCTTGTGTCTGACCATGAGTCTGCGTCCCAGCTATGAGGATTATCTAATATTGGTGCAAACGATGGTACAGTCGGTAAGTAATCTAATTCCGATATCTGTTTGTTTTATACACGTTTTTTTAGAAAAAATTATGCGCCTCATGTCTGAACTAAAGCATGTTAACTGTGCTTTGATTATTAACATGCTGCCCATTCATTATTATTCAAATTCAAGGGATTTTTAACATCGCCACACCTAATTATAATTTTCAATTTTGAGGTGGGGATCACGAGAATGCCAAAGACCATCTTGAGCCTATTGATGGTGCTGCAGAGTACATAGTGAACCAACCTGTGAAGACTCGTGTATACAACCGAAAGAAGAGATCTCGGCCCTTAGTTGTACCCTCAGATGACGATTTTGAAACCAGGCCTAAGAGGGATCAGAAAAAGTCCAAATATATAATATCGTCATTCAATGTAAATCAATCCAAGGTAGTTGCTAAAGTTGTAACTGTTATGGAGAAGGGAGTTGATGTTTCGGAAGAGGTACCTTCTAACGAGAAGCAACATGAGGGTGTTGAAGAAGTGCATGCTAAGGAGAAGCGTCAACGAGCTAGGACGAAGCCTATCGATGTTTTCTACATTGACGGGAATTTATGGGAGGACCTGACACTTTGTTATGCTTGGCAAGGTCCAGGGTAATGGTACACTTCTATCTACACGCCTCCAATTTCAAGATATATATTTCTTTACCAAATTTTTAATTTACTAATGCACCATTAGTTGATGTTTTCTATTTCCCCATATAAGAATGAAGAGTTTGAGAAAGGTGCAGGATAACACTATTTCCCTCAGAAAGATGGACACAAGATCAACAATTCCTGGTTCCTTTATAGAGGATAGCTTTGTAGATTGTTATTTAGATTTTCTAAACCGTGCCAAGGTTCGTAACACCAATGGGGTGGTCGGTAGATGGATTTTCTCATGCCTATTTGTTGCAAGTGTAGTTACCGAAGTTTTAACTCCATATTTTTCCTAACCATTGTGGCTAATAGCTATTAGTAACAACTCTTTTCTACATATTTAGGCTATTATCAACGGGAGGCAACTTTGATTTTTAACATATACTTCGCCTGTTATTAACAAATGAATGAACATTATTAACATATTATGTATTCACTTGTCGTGCAGTGGTTCTTTCCCCTCTGTGTTGGCAATCACTATGTCGTGTACTGTGTTGATTTACTGCACAAGGAGTTTCAATTCATGAATAGTCTCTCTCATACATGGGACGATTCACGCTACCAGACCATAGGAAGGGAGTTTGTGAAATATGTCCAGGCTTTCGTTGGGTGAGAGGTTAACAGGATATACAACTTTGAAGAGTTCCCTTGGAAATTCGAGCTCGGATTCAGACAAAACGACGGGATTTCATGTGGTGTTTTTGCTTTGAAATTCATTGAGTTTTGGGCAGGAGAGAGGGAGCACGATTGGAAAATCAGATGGGCGGACATCAACTATATCAACACAAGGAGGGCAGAGTGTTGCAAACGCTTATTGCTTGACCCGGCGAACCTCATGCTGCAATATTTGGAAGAGATGGTTGCCGAGAACAGAGATGATCTCCTGCAGATTGGTAGCCAGTGGTCACCACAGTTATAGTAGAAACTATTTATTTATCCCATAGATTTGTCGGTCAAATTTTCTACATTGGGAGCACAAATACTAGAACAATCTTGATTTGTTGCTTGAATTTGTTCACAGATTATCAGGATATTGATTTCTAAACTCGAAAAGGGCTACGTCCTTATACCAGCGCAAATTATCAGAATTGCAACTGGTTATCAAACATAAAAGCATCCCTTATTAACGTTTTCACCTGTATTTAGTAATGCATGTGTAGCTGATTAGTGAATTATTTATTGTTAATGAAAAACGTCTAGGTTATCAACTAGTACATGAAGCCATTATTAACGACTCGGTTGTCAACGCTGCTCATGTTACAAACGTTTGCCATGTTTTGCCAATTAATCCCATCATTGTTAATCAAAATAGTCTACATTATTAACTAGTACATGAATACATTATGAAGAGATCAGTGACTACGCTGACCAGGTTACAAACGTTTAGGATATTTTACCAAGTCATTATTAATCAAAACCTTCTATGTTATTACCTCGGGACTGAACTCATTAATAACGCCATCAGTTACAAACGCTTATCATACTTTAACAAGTATTTAAAACATTGTTAATCAAAATCACTTATCTTATTAACTGGGACCTGAAGTCATTATTAACGCCATTGATTAACACATGTTCACGTCTGTAAGCAAACAATTCCATACCAGTTACAAATCATCACGATATGGTAATACTGCTGACCATAGTTTCATTGATAATAATACCAAAACGTTGTCTTTTAAACTTCTCATACAACAAAACCAAAACTGCAGTCTCCCTCAAAATACTCATTTATAATGTTCACCGAATATTTTATGCACTCATTCACCTGAAGTATGTAAAATGATAATTTTTCTCTTCCGCGCCAACTCCATAAACATCAGTTTTTCTTCTTCTTCTCCTTTCTCCTCTTCTCTCGAATAAAATCTGTCATACTCTTCTTCCTTTTCCGTGTCCTAGTCAAGTCTGGTCTCTCCTTGAAGGTTGGGGGTGTCCATTCTTCTCCCTCCACATTTGAATCTACATTAACTTAGCATGAACTTTAGCTACTCACCTTCCCTACAAGTAATTAGTAATCAAAATTGAAAGTTTAAATCACCTGGGATAGCAGGGGGTGCAAGGACTGTCTTCAACATGTTCTTCGTTTGATTTTTTATTGTGGTCAAGCTCTGCAACAGGAACTCGTATATGGTATCATGCATGCAAACATTTGTTGCAATTGTGTTGACCATTCCTGTAACCTCCCTGACTCGAGAACATTGGATACCTTCATAGGTAGGCTTTGGCTGATACTGGGCTATTCCCCCTTAGTCTTCATTGTATGCGACCATCGATCCAACAAGTAACGGGCTGGGATAGTTGCTAGCTGTGGGTATGGTCCATACCCCAAAAGTTCCATTATTCCCAATATGTGTCGACACAACCAACCATGGGTCTCGAATTTCCTGCATGAGCACTGCAGTATGCACTCATCCAAATCCACCAGTACGACCCTCTCGTCCAACTTCGGTCCATCATCCTCCATCTTGAAAACATCATATGCTTGCATGTCATTTTCAGTTCTCTCGTCATTTTTAATGTAGAGGTAAGCATGACTATTTGCATACTCCTCTTGGAAGTCCTCAAACACATTTGGGGTGTAAAATGGAGCGGCCTATTTGAGAATCTGACTTTGGTGCACCTAAAAAAAACCAAGAATGAACCATGACTTGTTAATAACTGCTAGAATCATTCTTAATATATCATGTAGCTACGGTTACTAATGACGTGCAAACTGTTACTACTTGGAAGAAAAAACATACCATAATATGTTGCAACCTCTCCACTGCGTTGAAGTCATTGTCTTGCTCCTGGGCTCTTTTCGTGTCCAACATCAATTCAAACTGGGTGAAAAATTGGCAAAGGTTGTTGTTGAAAGTCAGGTACTCACGAAGGATGGAATTACACGACTCACTAAGTTGTGAACTCATCATCCCTCCAGTGAATTGTATGTTCACCCAAGCAGATGACCATCGCTTCCTCAATTTCAGAATACGATTTAATCATGTATTGTGATTATTTGGTTTGTCCGAAAAGCAGGTAGTCATCATCTCGTCCTAGACGTATTGGAACTCTTCTTCATTCTCAACATCATACATCAATTGGCTTATACATTCACCCACTTTTCCCTTCCATATCTACTTGCCCTTGCCATTCTCCCTTAGGTGGAAGGTACACAGCCCATGAAAACATTTCTCCTCTGTGTTTGGGCCATTAAGGCAAACCTTATACCAGCAGCAATTGCAACACATTGATTAGTGAAAATAGATGTCGGTCTTTTACCAGACATGCACTTCAAGAATGATCGGGAGAGTCAATCAAAAGTCTCTGATGTTTCATACTACAGTAGAGCAGCCCCAAACACACATAGTTCCTTGTGGTGGTTCCATCCCACAAATAGAGCTGCATATATTAAAAACTCATTGATAAATTACATATGCATTACCAATGACTTATTAACAACTCATAACACACAACAACATGCATTATTAACGAATACATAGACAGTGTTCTTCGCACTTTCTCTCTCTAGGGCTCTGTTTTTGCTCTCAAAAATCGATTCTCTCACTTGTGGCCCGAAATTGGGTAAAAACAATAAAATCCCGATCACACGGGCAGGCCACACGGCCGTGTGGCATACCTAGATGCCCGTGTGAGATACAAAATGCGGCGTTTCCAATAATTGCACTTCAGGCTACCTACACGGCTAGGGACACACGGCCGTGTGGCTCACCCAGTCTGCCCGTGTGAAGCCTCGCATAATCCCACACGGCCACATAGCTCCTTCACACGGCCGTGTGGGTTTTATTCCTGCCTGTGTGGCTTCCTCGGCGACTCGCCGTACGTCCGATCTTCGTCCAATCGACCCAGAACTCGCTCCCAAACCTTCATTCACGTACTAGGACCTGAAATATCACAAACAAGCACAACCTAGCGTGAAAGCGGCCTAAAACACGAGAGTCAACACCTCAAACGGCTCCAGAATAGCGGCAAAAACATGTGCAATTAACGGTTTATCAAACTCCCCCACACTTAACAAACGCATACACCACGGCGAGGAGCTCCTTCTCAGTGGTGATGTAGTTCTCCTGTGCATCGTTCAAGGTCTTGGACTCATAGTAGATGGGCTGGAAGTGCTTCCCGCCTCTCTGACCCAGAACTGCTCCGACTGCATAATCACTCGCATCGCACATCAGCTCAAAAGGAAGAGACCAGTCAGGAGTCACCATGATAGGTGCATGGGTATGCTTCTCCTTCAGAGCCTCGAATGCAGCTATGCACTCAGGAGTGAACTGGAATGGTGCATCCTTCTCCAGCAGCTTGGTCAGAGGCAGGGCAATCTTCGAGAAATCTTTAATGAAGCGCCGGTAGAAGCCTGCATGACCCAGAAAGCAGCGAATCCCCTTCACAGAAACGGGAGGAGGTAGCTTACTGATCATCTCAATCTTCACGCGATCCACCTCAATCCCCTGCTTGGAGATCTTGTGCCCGAGCACAATCCCCTCACGGACGATAAAATGGCACTTCTCCCAGCTGAGTGCCAGATTAGTCTCCTCGCACCTCTTCAGAACGAGTTCCAGGTTATGGAGACAATGAGTGAAGGAGACTCCATAAACCAAGAAGTCATCCATGAAGACTTCCATAATCTCCCCAACCAGTCGGTCGAAGATCGCCATCATGCATCTGTGGAAGGTCGCCGGTGCATTACACAGCCCGAATGGAATCCTCCGGTAAGCAAAAGTGCCGAAGGGGCAAGTGAATGTGGTCTTCGCCTCATCCTTTGGTGCAATAGGAATCTGGAAATAGCCAGACATGCCATCCAGGAAGCAATAAAACTCATGACCAGCCAACCTCTCCAGCATCTGATCAATGAAAGGTAGGGGAAAATGATCTTTCCTGGTGGCGTCGTTCAGGCGCCGGTAATCGATGCAGACTCTCCAGCCGGTCACGGTCCGCATCGGGATCAGCTCTTTCTTCTCATTCGGGACCACAGTCATCCCGCCTTTCTTCGGGACCACCTAAGTGGGACTGACCCACTTGCTATCAGATATAGCAAAGATGATCCCTGCATCCATGAGCTTCACAATCTCTGCCCGGACCACTACCTCCAAGTTAGGAGACAATCTCCGCTGCGGCTGCCTGACTAGCTTAACCTCATCCTCCATCAGAATTCTGTGGGAGCAGAAGGATGGGCTAATGCCTCTGATGTCTGTGATCTTCCATGCCATGGACCGGGCATACTTCTGCAGCAGAGCCACCAGCCTGCTCTTCTGCTTGGGTGTCAGATCCGAGCTAATAATGACCGGGAGCTTATTCCCCTCCCGGAGAAATGCATACTCCAGGTGAGAGGGGAGGGGCTTAAGCTCCAGCTCTGGTGGCTCCTCCAATGATGTAGCGATCCGGGGCGAGATAGGGATCAACTTGAATGGTATCTCTCGCCCCTCGATCGCGGCCTCGTCTAGCTCCGCGAGCTGCTCCTCCAGCTGCACGTCCTGTGATGCCTGTTCCCCTAGCAAAAGACAACGCTCGAGGAAATCATCAGTACCCGCACTTGTAATGGCGAGTGCGGTCTCAAAATCAGCAACAACATCATAGTAATCTAGATCATCATGGAGCTGAGGGTGTTTCATATTATCAGAAACAGAGAATGTGATTTGTTCACCCCAGCTTGCAAAATCAGTTTTCCATCATTCACATCAATGAGCGCCTTGGCGGTGGCGAGAAAAGGTCTACCCAATATCAATGGCACATCCACATCCTCATTTATGTCCAAAATCACAAAATCAACAGGATAAGAGAATGGCCCTACTGCGACTATCAAGTCCTCTACAATGCCCCTAGGATGCACAATGGATCTATCAGCAAGTTGAATGCTCATCCTAGTATCACTGGGTTCACCTAGGCCTAGCTTTTTAAACAGTTTATATGGCATGACATTTATGCTAGCGCCTAAATCCGCCAAGGACTTCCCTATATGCAAACTACCAATCATGCAAGGGATAGTGAAACTCCCTGGGTCTTTTTGCTTCTCTGGTAGTTTGTTCTGCAGGATGGCATAACACTCCTCGTTGAGCATCACCGTTGACAGCTTCTCAAGCTTCCTCTTGTTGGTGAGGAGATCTTTCATGAACTTGGCATACTTGGGCATCTTCGATAATGCCTCCACGAAGGGCATGCTTATATTCACCTGCTTCAGCATTGCCATGAACTTGGCAAACTCAGTCCCCAGTCGGTCCTTGTGCAACCGAGTAGGAAAGGGGAGCTGGGGTACATACTCCTTCACCACTGGTTGCGGTTTAGGAGCAGGCACCTCAACCTCCTTCTCCATTTCCTCTTCATTAGCTGGAAGTGCTGAAGCAAGGGTCTCTCTCTCTTCTGCCCGAACAGCTGGATCGGCAGTCACCTTGCCACTCCTGGTGGTAATGGCCCCGTAGTGCTCATTCGGGTTCTGCGGATGAGGGATGGTCTGACCGGGTAGAGTACTAGGAGGCCTCTTAGCTACAGCCTGGGCAACACTCCCAAGCTGGGTCTGGATATCCTGAAGCATAGCCTGAGTGTTTCTCTGACCAGCTTCTAGCTCCATGAATTTGCCTGAAGCTTTCTCCATGAACTGCTCGATGTTATTGAACTTGTTTGCACTGGAGGTGGCCAGAGAACCCACCAGATCTCGCAGTTTCGCCATCGGGTCACTCTGCGTTGGGGCTGCAGGTGCTGCCCCTGTCTGCTGAAATGGCCGTACCTATGACTGAGGTGGAACTGGCCCCTGTCTGGCCGGGTAGAGTGGCTGTTGTGGCTGCTGAAATTTCCCTTGTCGGGGCTGGTAAGGAGGCCTCTGGAAGCCAAGTGGTCCCTGGGGGACTGGTGGTCTGGAATTTGCCCCACCCTAGGAGAAGTTGGGATGCTGGCGCCACCCCTCGTTGTAAGTGTTGCTGTAGGGTTCGAAGCGCATGGCATTGCCGATGAAGTCCAGGTGCTCCTGGTGAGTTGAAGACTCCCTCATCGCCTGGAAATCCTCCACGATGTGATGAGAACTCTCACACCACTGGCAGAGCATCACCTGCTGTTGTCTGGTACCTGCAATCATTCCATAACGATCAATAGCTGAAACCAGCTTTGATACCACCTGCACCAGATCAGATGACTGTGTGGATACAGCATGCACACCCCGTCCTGGTGCTCGTCTCGATCTCCTCGCAGTTCCCCAGTCATAGCCCTGCTCTGCCATCTCCTCAAAAAGTTGATTCAGCTGAGGCGGTGTTTTGGTGAGCATATTCCAGCCACAGACCGCATCAATCAGCTGCTTATCCTCCGGGAAGAGAGCATGGTAGAAGGTTCCCACCTTGAAGGCATTAGTAAAACCATGGTTAGGACACTTGAGGAAGAGACTGGTTTATCTCTCCCAAGCATCCCTGATGGTCTCATCCTCATCTTGAGCAAAATGGGTAATTTGCTTTTGCAGGTCCGCCGTCTTGGATGGAGGATGGTAGCGGGTGAGGAACTTGTCCGCAAGGTTGGCGAACGTGGTGATAGATCCTATAGGTCGAGTGTCTAGCCACTCCTTGGCCTGCCCCTCCAGAGTAAACGGGAAGTACCTCAGCTGGATGGTATCTGCTGGGACCCCATTAATCTTGATTCCATCGATGAGCTCGTGGAATCGCCTGAGATTTGATCGGGGGCACTCCCAATCTTTGCCTCGGAACACTACCGAACCGCGCAGCATTGTGATGACAGAGGTGCTCACCTCAAAATTATTTGCTGGCACATGAGGGTGTTGAATGGGTGACCTCATGTCCGCAGCCCTGGCAGTCTAGTAGTATCCCATGGTCTGCTCCTCGGCAAGGACCACATCATGGTCTTGTGGATCCCCCATCTCTTCTTCTTCAGCGATCTGCAGCTATGCTAGCTCCTCCTCCGCAGCCAGTCGCGCCTTTAGAGCCCGCTTGAAGTTGCTGCAGGTTCGTTCAAGCTCTTGGTCTAATGGTAGTAGATCTCCCGACTGGCTACGGGTCATGCACTACCTGCACACAATCAGCAGAAGCAACCCGTGAAGGCACACAGGTGGAAGAGATAAAATGCAGTAAAGAAAAAGCTAGAGTAACCAATTTTCACGTTTCCCCAATAACCTAGAGGGTCCCCGACAACGACGCCAAAAAGTTGACATGCCAAAACACAACACCAAACTGCGACCAAGTGTAATCGCAGTCCGGGAATGCAGTAAAGTGGCAAGTTCTATTATCAACCCGGGGTCTAGATCTACTGTCTACTCCGTGATTATCTATTATCTAGCCAACTAAGTCAAGTGATTGTTGTTTTAAGCAAAAGCAGTAAGAAAGCAGGAATTGGTACGATTTTCTCAAGCAAAGAAGAGTCACTTGGGAATGAGTCCCCCTGGCTCCTTAGTTAGGTCTCAATTGTAATTACCCTGGGTTGATTTACTGTTGATTAGACTGCGGAAGATCCGACAGTAGCTTGGAATCTCTTAAGCTGACCAAGCCCTCTCAGTCTAACTACCCGGCAGACGACTAGTCTTCACCGGGATAGAAAGCTGAAGCAATAAGCACAGAACTCCACTACTGGAATTGGATTCCAATACAAAGCAGTAAACTAGCTAACTCTCGTATAGCCAATCTCCTACTACCGAATGAAGAAGCTCTAACAACCTAATCAAATTCTATCTATCTCAGGTTGCAGCAGAAATCAAGAAAAGCTTATCAGACTTCAATCAATTCAATAAAACATGCATCATTCGATTAAAACCAAACAATATAATGATCCCAAGTCATTACAATCAAATCCTTAACACATGGAACTAGGGTTCTTCATACCCAAGTGAGAGAAGGGTTCTACTCCATAGAGAGAGAGAGAGAGAGAGGAAAACAGAATACAAAGCAGTCATACTCACAACAATGGGAAGAATCTGCTCTGGGATGATGATTTCCACTCCTATGACGATCTCCAAGCTCGATTTGATGAAACCCAGCTCCAAGATTGCTTCTAGGATGTGTTCTTCGCACTTTCTCTCTCTAGGGCTCTGTTTTTGCTCTCAAAAATCGATTCTCTCACTTGTGGCCCAAAATTGGGTAAAAACCAGAAAATCCCGATCACACGGGCAGGCCACACGACCGTGTGGCACACCCAGATGCCCGTGTGAGATACAAAAGGCGGCGTTCCAATAATTGCACTTCAGGCTACCTACACGGCCAGGGACACATGGCCGTGTGGCTCACCCAGCATGCCCGTGTGAAGCCTCGCATAATCCCACACGGCCACATTGCTCCTTCACACAGCCGTGTGGGTTTTATTCCTGCCCGTGTGGCTTCCTCAGCGACTCGCCGTACGTCCGATCTTCGTCCAATCGACCCCGAACTCGCTCCCAATTCACGTACTAGGACCTGAAATATCACAAACAAGCACAACCTAGCGTGAAATCGGCCTAAAACACGAGAATCAACACCTCAAACGGCTCCAGAATAGGGGCAAAAACATGTGCAATTAACGGTTTATCAAACTCATGATCCGAGTCTTCCTCGCATACTCTCCGGATTGCAATACCAAACCTCCTCTTCATCCGAGTGGTATCGTAACCAATGTGTTCTCAGTGATTCCATGGTCCCTGGCAACGACCACGGAGCTAAAATGAGAGAGAGAAGAGGGAGAGATACTGCAAGCTTGCAAGAACCACAACAGAAGCTACCTGAACTTTCACGATTGAGAAGCTAGCTGTCCAGGGACTGTATTATGGGTGCAAAAACATTAACCCAAAACCAGCCACTTTTGCTACGGGTACATGCTTCTCGAATGGCTTTGATTGTTATGAGTAGGGGGTGGCAATACGGTCCGGTCCGGTTAAATTGGCCCGAATTGATCCGGTCCCAGTCCGGTCTTTTTGGAAATATGGGGACCAAAGTTTGGGTTGGGTACATTCTGATTTTGACCCGGTCCGGTTTTGACCCAGTCCGGTCCCAATCCGGTTTTGACCTATTTTGACCCATTTTGGCCATTCTGTAGCTGTTCTGTTATATTATTTTAATTAGCAATTTATTATTTTTTTCTCAAAATAATAATACAATAGGAGCAATAGTATCACAATTATTTATAAAAACTTATCACAATTATCACATACAAGTTAAAGTTTGTGATTCGTGCATATCCAGCTAAAAATGACAGTAAACCATCACCAATTTGATTGCATTGTTATTTATTCTCAATTCACATGAATCAATCAATTTTATTATATTGACGGGATAACTAACCTATATAACTATTATATTATTAGTATTTGTATTTTGATGATAAGAACAACTACAAATAAAGTTTTACCCAACCATCGTTTATCAAGAAAAGAAAGCAACGCTTCTCATTAAAAAAACATCTTTCTCTTCTTTCTTGTTCTCATCAAAATCGGCAGATCCCTCTTCGCATCCCCTGTTTACGGTAGAAACCTCTGCCCCGTCTCGGCTTCTCCGTCATGATTCCCCTTCTTTCGCTCCCGAAGTCAACCATCTCTCCCTAATTAACCGTCGCCGCCTCAAATCCTACTCAATTGAATCCCGTAACTTCCTTCTCTCTTTCATCGCTTCAGCTCCACTCCACAACCCTTCTAATCGCCGCCTCTGTTCCAGCGCCACTGCGGCGTCAAAGGAGAGACAGAGTCTAGCATCTGGATTCCCCTCCAAAACTGGTAGCTCAGATGATAGATAGATGGAACAACGTCTAATTGTGAATGGAGTGAGCGAACAGCTACTCCGCGGATGGAGACCAGCGACGAGAGGAGGTGGGTCGCCGTCGCCATCGGCAGCGGGAAGTGGGTTGGTTCCTTGGTGGAGCGTCGACGACGCGATGGTCCGATGGGCGATGGAATGAAGACTTGAGGGAGAGGCAGGCGGCTGATGCAAAATTGCAAATTGAAAAACCACCGCAGCAACCCTACAGTTGGCTCGCCTGGGCCGGCGAGGGGTGAGTGGGCCGAGAGGCCATGGGGTTGGCCTGTCCCTGGGCTGGCTTATTTTGAGCCTCTAAATCTGTTTTGTAATTATCCGGTCTTCCGGTTTTTACATGGTTTTGACCCGGACTGGATTGGTCCGGGTTTTTTGCTAATTCTGAGACCAAAGACGGGATTGGATTGTTTTAAATTCGGTCCCGGTCTTAAAACGGTTCGGGTTTTACGGGCCGGTTTTCGGTTTTCCATCCGGTCCTGGTCCAAATTGCCAGCCTAGTTATGAGTATGAAATCTGATAAATACGTGGCATACAACATTGACAAAGAAAGATTCAAGATGAGAATTAGAGTCACTCAACAAAACAGAGAATTCAAAGAAAGAAGGCTCACAGAAATCTTAGTTCTTAAGCCTCTTTGCCTCGTCCAGCGATTCTCGTCACCACCAAAATACAGTTCACGCCGAATGTTCTTCCCCGTGTCATTGATTAACTTAGAACGAACTATTGATATTGGCCAACACAAGAGAATTCATATTCCGCGGCCTGCGAAATACACAGAAAGTAAAGAACATCATTTACAGAGCACATGTGAACTGGAATGAACATAATATTAACAATAAGGAAAGAAAAGGAATCATACAAGGCCCTCTGATGAAGCAGATGGAAGCGGGGTTGCGCCAGCCCGAAGAACCTTCCAGATATTCATTCCCGCATCACAAAAATCGGCGAATGGAGATTTGCATATCTCGATGAGGGAGAAAGAGAGGAAAATGAGCAATGAATCGCTGGAACTAACAGATGAAAACTGCCAAAGAAATCTGCCAAATCAATTCTCACCATGAACCGAGCGAATCCCCAGGAATTGGTGTGTTTTGGAAGTGAGACGATGATTGAGATTTCAAAGAAGGGAACCAGAGCACCGCTGTTCTCGACCCATCGTGAACAATAGTAAATCAATTCCTAGGGATTCGACAAAACAAATTGATTGTTTTTAGAGATTTAGAGCTCACCGATTGATTTCATGATTTCCTCGACTTGAGCTTGTAGCTACCCATCGGTCGCTCACCAAGTAAAGAATCTGAAAGTGAGAAGGAGAGAAACAAACTATTAATTATAGTTTCCTCTTTGCCGATGGTCATAAGAAAGCATCTAAATGGTAGAAATTAAAAGGAAAAGAAAGAGAGAAGGGAGATCAAGAAGTAAATATAAACGGAGATTCGACGGCCACCTGAAATCCCAGAACTGCATCCCTTGACGTGAAGAGACAAAGAGAATGTTGTTGATTCTTCAAGGAAAAACACCCTCACAGATCTAGGTCCAGAACTTCCTCGAC